CTTACTATCAGTTATGGCTGCTCAATTCTTTGTAGTTTTGAGAAATGACGTTTTTTTGTCTTTTTGAATTTAACAAAGAAATCAGACATATATTTTTTTCGAAAGTAATAGTTACCATCTCTATAATCAGTCGTTGTCTGTGTACTCTCAGGGGTTAAGAATCTTGTTTCCAAATATGATTGCTCAAATTTTTGTAGTTTTCGAGATATGAGGTTTTTTGTGATTTTTTCAAAAATTTTCAGAAAACTTCAGAAATTTTAAATTAATTATTTTTCAAAATTTGAAATTTCCATCGCTATAATTCGGTGTTGTCAGGGTACTCTAAAAAATTGCAATTCTTGCAACATGCGACTGCTAAACGCGAGTGCTCAAATGCTTTTAGTTTCCGAGATGTGACGTTTTTTGATTTTTTCAAAATTTCTCAAAGAACTTAAATTATTATTAGTTTTTAAAAATCTGAAATTCCCAACCCTGTAGTTAGGTCCTGTCAGTGTACTCTCAAAGATTGCGAATCTTGCCTCAAGGTATGACCGCTCAATTATTTGTAGTTTTTGAGATATGACGTTTTTTGTGACTTTTTCAAAAATTTTCAGAAAACTTCAGAAATTTTAAAATAATTTTTTTTCAAAATTTGAAATTTCCAGCGCTATAATTCGGTGTTGTCAGGGTACTCTAAAAAATTGCAAATCTTGCACAATGCGACTGCTAAATACGAGTGCTCAAATGCTTTTAGTTTCCGAGATTTGACGTTTTTTGATTTTTTTCAAAATTTCTCAAAGAACTTAAATTATTATTAGTTTTTAAAAATCTGAAATTCCCAACCCTGTAGTTAGGTCCTGTCAGAGTACTCTCAAAGATTGCGAATCTTGTCTCAAGGTATGACCGCTCAATTTTTTGTAGTTTTCGAGATATGACGTTTTTTGTGACTTTTTCAAAAATTTTCAGAAAACTTCAGAAATTTTAAATTAATTATTTTTCAAAATTTGAAATTTCCAGCGGTATAATTCGGTGTTGTCAGGGTACTCTAAAAAATTGCAAATCTTGCAACATGCGACTGCTAAACGCGAGTGCTCAAATGCTTTTAGTTTCCGAGATGTGACGTTTTTTGATTTTTTCAAAATTTCTCAAAGAACTTATCTACAAAGAAATTCAAAAAGTTTGAAACTACTAAATTGATGAAGATACAACCTTATTGTCAGCGTACACCCGGGCGTCTCAAATCTTGCCTCTTAATTTGAATGCTCAAATCCTTTTAGTTTCCGAGACGAGACATTTTTTTTTTTCAATTTTTTTTTTCGGGAAACAGGTTTTAAAAAATTCCTAACCCTATAGTAGGGTGCTCTCAGGGACTCTGAGTGATTGCAAATCTGGCCTCCAAATTTCTCCAGAGGCCCATTAAATTTTCAGGATGACGCTTTTAAAATGGGAATTAAAAAAATTTAAAACGTTCGAAATTACCAACCCTGTAATTGGGTGCAGTCAGAGTACACTAAAAATTTGCAGATGTTGTTTCCAATATATGCGGTTTTCGAAGCACCGGAGGTGCGTTAAACGCTAGTTGATTTTATTTGTTTTTCTTTGTAGACTCTTTCGATGATCCAATTATCAATGACATGTTGTTTTATTGTTTCAGTTTTAGTTTGCATTGAGTTTTGAAGGCATCTATCTAGGCAAAATAAGTTCCACTTTGGTCTCGTATTCAGAAGTAGGGTATATATTTTTTGCTGAAACAAACGGTTGTCTTATGTTACGAGTCCGGTTTTTTTCTAACCTAATTTGCATAAATTAGTGCTGAACCAAAGTGCTCAATTTGTTTTACCTATTAACTGCTCTTATTCTCTTTTTATTTGGGAGGTTAAAATTATTCGTTACCTTTTTGCAATGCTCTGTTAGCGGTTTTTGAAAACACAGCAGAAAAAAATAAAATTGCTCTTCATAGCCGTAATAATGAGTTATGAGATTTTTTCATGTAGTTCGTAAGGGTTTTTTTTTTATTGGTGAAAAGGCTCAAATTAATTGTTCAAGCTCATTTTCATTTTTTGACTGTTCACTGGCTGTTTTTTTAACTTCATTTTGCATTTCAAAAAAAATTATAAGAAATAGTGTTAAATTTTGACTAAGTGAATAACTCAAGTCAGTAATTGGATGATGCCAGTTTTTTTCACGTAATCCAAATCTTGCCTCAAAATTTGACTTCTCAGATTCTTTTACCTACCACGATATGACGTATTCTAAGATTTTTTTAAAAAGTTTTACGTAACTTAGACATAAAAAATTTTAAAAAGTTGATATTATCAACTCTATAGTGTCAAGTTCTGTCAGGGTAATCTCAGACCTTGCAAATCGTGACTGCTGAAATCATTTTCGGTTCGAAGAAATGACGTTTGTTCTATAATTCTTTAAAATTTTTCAGAAAACTTGATTTGAAAATTTTTTTTTATTCGCAAACCTATAATGGGGTGATCTCGTGGTACTTCCAGAAGTTGCATTTCTTTAAGCTTTGACTGCTTAAAAAATCTTTGTTTGGGAGATATGCAATTTTGAATGATTTTTCAAAACTTTTGAAAAACTGAATCTTAATACGAACTTAAAAAACTTTGATTTTTCAAAATTATGATGGGGTGCTGTCGAGACACTCAGGAAATTTTTATATGGACTCTGAAGATGACTGCTCAGCTCATTTCATTTTTCTAGATATCAATTATGATTCTTTTTTCATGATTTTTCAAAAAAAGTTGACTTGAGTTCCAAAAAAATATTCATTAAATTATCAGTTAAACTAAGAAAAAAAGTCTGCTGTTTTAAATAAAAAAGAATTAAGTTTAATAAGCGTCTCATTCATGATTTCAGTGATTTTGCAATGAAATTGATAAATATGGGGAGTTTATTTGTATGCTATTAGCCATTCTGAAACCTAGTAGCTTCAGATATTTAACCATTTTATTTGAAAAACATTTGAGTTGGAATTTTTTTGTTTAATTTTTTTTAATGAAAAGGGTTGTTGGATGCGCCTGTCTCTTGTTACGGTTTGCATTCTTTTCGTTGTTTTTTTTTCATTCATTTTAGATATAAGCAGTTTTCACGTTGAATATTCTGTTTGAAGTACCGGAAGTGCAATACACACTCGTTTTATTTAAAAAACGAGGACTAAGAGAGCCTGAAGTCGTATCAAATCGGAATTTCAAAGTTAAAATTTTTGGTAATCTTGTACAAAATCGATTGAAGAATTCATCGTTTTGATATGTCAGCGTGAGTTTGTGTCTGCTACTATTACTAATCCAATTGTTGGATTTCATTAGTTTTATGTAGTTTCAATGTGTTAAAACAGTAACAAGGTAACTTTTTAGGGTTTTCGTTTTTAATATTATAGAAAAACATAGAATCAACATTTTTAACGTACAGTGTATACTGAAACGTTTCTTTTCTTTTAAAAATAGTTCAATGTCACGTATTAATTACTTTTTCATCAATGTTGTTTCAATAGACTTTTTCTCTTTTTTGTTGTTTTTGTCCGATCGGAGTTTCTTCTTTTTGGGGAATTAAAATGGGCTCGTGTTTTCGGCTTCCGAACTGTTTTCAGAATATTTTGCGTTTCTTAGTCAGTGTTTGTTTTTGCCTCTGTTTGATTCGATTTTTTCTGAGATTTGTTTATTAAAACATTGAAAAGTAAAAAATAGGTTTTGAATTGTTTTTGAGAACTTTACCAATTCCACTGAACTTTACCAACTTTTCAGAATCTTTTCAAATCTTTTTTCATTTGAAGTGAGTCATTTTTATTATGTAATTTGTTTTGGTTATTGAAAACTTGAATAAAAGTAATTTTTTTAATCAATGTGCAGTTTATAAATGATTTCGTCGCGTGTCTTTGGAACGACTGCTTCTCTGTGTGGTTTAACAAGGGTCGATGAACCTAGTTGTGACTCCTCTATTAGGCTGTGATGATTTTTTTTTTGGTTTTTTCTTGATAAATCCAGATATTTGTTCAGGCTCATATTTACTTTCCGGTTTGACGTTTGATTTCTTTTTAAGTTCAGTTCATTTTTTTTGTTAAAGGGATGGCAAACTATCGAACAGTAAAAGTGTATAAATCACAAAAAAATTTGATCGACTTCTAGGTTCGATAAGAAAATGTAATTTTCAGTTTTGCCAGCGATATAAAAAAATTTACTCATTGAGCCAGTTTTCTTAAATTGGGTTAATTTTATCAAAAAGTATCAATCATAAATTGCTCCAGAAATTCAAAAAGCTTTAAGGGCGTTTTTTTCTCGGAAATTCGGAATTTGGAAGATTTTCATAAAGCATGTCAGTATTTTTTCCCTTTTTTCTGCGTTCATAGACTCTTTTCCAACTGTGTGCCAGCTATGTTTTCTTCATCAAAAGTTGAAAAATCTCGGAAATTTTTCAATCAATTTTTGGTTTCGGTTTCCTTGTTATCGAGATCCAAAAAAGCTCCTAAGCCATATATATTCTAAAGGAGAGGTTAGTGTGGTACTGCAAGGCTAATTTTTATTCGAACCTAAGTCGAAAATGTTAGTACTTCTTTTGGTGGCCCTTTTACAACGGAAGGCTGAACTGGCGTGCCACAGTATAATAATTAAAATCACCATTTAGAAGTTATTCTCAACGAGGTGAGTTTCTTCTCATACAGGTTTTGCGTGGTTTTGGGGGTTTTCCTTAATGCTAACTTAAACTTCAAATTAATTTCACATCTATGACAAAGTGCGTACAATTTAATGGGTCAATCTTATGAAAAAAAGCCTGGGGTTTTTAAGATTTTAATGTTGGCTATAATTGTTTATATTGATCATTTCAAAGCTACTGTAGTAACACTCGAAGGATGATTCCCGCTGAAAATAATAATCATTCAACTGTTAGCAAATGTCCGAATAAGATTGATTCGCTCGATTTAATTCTTTTTCTACGTGCACCCTCGTGCATTCGCAGTCTGAACTTATCGGAGCTGAACTTATCTGAAATCTGCATAACATTTGGTAACTATATTTTTGGTTGTTAGGTCTGAATAGATTAACTGTTAGTTGCCAGTTTGAAGTGAAGCGTCTCCTGTTTTGGCGTCTTTGACAATTTTATTAGCCTGTTCATTCAGCCTCCGCATTTCTTGAGTTGGTGAATGAGTCTGAAAGTGAGCATGGTGCATGGTTTGTTGCGTGTATGGATCCCAAGGGTAAAGATACCTACAAGGTATTAAGGTACTACTACATTCACTTGCTAATCCCGATTGCTGTTTTGGGTCTGACGCAAAATTCAACCCACTGCTGCTGCTGCAGTTGTCATTATTCGCATTAGTGGCTGTTCAAATAAATACACACACAGGCAATTACTTTTCCCCCTTTAATTCCCCCAGCTTTTTGTTATTTTTCAGTTTCTTATGCACTGTTTGTTGCTATCGTCTTCCTAGACTTATCAGGCAGTTATACATGGAATTCATTTGTTGTCATTTAGCAGAAGAGAAATGAACATTGTTTTGGTTATTTTTGATTTTATGAGCTATTTTTACGCATTAACTTTTAAATGTCTGGTTCAATTTTGTGGTTCAATTCTGGGCTCTACAGGAATAGGTTTATACGATATTAACGAACAATCTGAAAGTTAAAGGGTTTATACAAAGTTTGAATACTTGATGGTTTTTGCTACTGGCTGTTAGGTCGGTTTCAATGTTTAGTCAATAGTTATTCCGACCATTTTGAAAATTGTGGAGGAAGTTTGTTTCGGGTGTGTTTTAATTTTCTTTTTTTTTTTTATAATTTCCACGCCAAATCAGGCACAAATAATCATCGGAATGGGTCGAGTGATATACCAATTTGAAGCCCTTTCAATTGTGATTCGAACGACATTTTAAAATTTTCAAAAAGTTTTCTCAGTATCGAGAAAAAATGGTTTATGTAGTTTATTTTTATTTTTTAAGCTAAAAAAGCAATCGAGCAGGCTAATAACAGCCTAATTATGCTTAATAGAGTTTTTAGCGTCATTTTGTGAAATGAAAAATAAACCTGTTCTCGAAATTTTTTTTTGATTTTCTTCTAAATTTTTTGTCCAATTTGCCGTTATTACCATGACTGTCGAACATGCCTAAACACGCCGAATATGCCGAATTTACGTCAGATCCTTTTTTATCAGACCATGTTTAGAAAACTACACTAATTTGAAAAACCGTAGCCGGCTATCCTTGTTTTTGGCTGTAATTGTTCCGATCAGTTCACGAAGTAGAAAGTAACTTTGAATGTGGTCGTGTGTTTTACGGCGGTTTTGATATGCCGAAGATAATCGTCAGGGATCATTACGCAAGGAAATTCTTGTTTTGTCAAAATAACTCGCACAAATTAGTGATCAATTTTTGTTTTAAATTTCAGTTTGCGTGTGTTGGATTTCATAGCTCCCAGTTTTCATAAGTAAACTACAAAATGAGATCAATTTCTTTTTAAGATCACTTCATTTTCTTTGGTGAAAGGAAGGCAAACTCCACAATCGAACAGTCAAAGTGTACTGGTCACGAAAAACGAGATCGATTTCTTATTTCGAGAATGAAATTTAGTCATCAGACTTCTCAGCGAATGAATAATTTGACCTTTTGATCCAGTTTTCTCAAACTGAGTTTATTTTAATTTAACAAAACAAAAAAAATTTCGCCAAATTCAAAGAGCTTATATTTTTTCTTTAAGAGTCGAAAGAAGTCAGTTTTTTGTTCTGTTCACTTGCGTTCATTACTTTTTTTCGAACTGTTGGCTATGTTTGAGACTGATTTTTCATGGTAGTTATGGAATCCCGCCAACCAACTGTGTACTGTTATAAATGTCTTTGAGGATTTAATATCCAGTTATGGTTTTTAGTGTTGGTGTTTAGTGAACAGTAAAGCGATATAGCGCAGTTATAAAAACAATTGACTCGAACAAGAACGAAGTGATTTTCAATTATATAGGTCTTGATGTTTTTTTTATGTGTTTTCAGGTAAAAATCTTGAAGTTGCCCACACTCGAATTTGTTTTTCCACTTCATTTCCTTTGTTAAATGAAGGCAAACTACCCTATCGAACAGGAAAATAGAAAAAGTCTTGATAAACGTGAATGACCTTCAGTTTCAAAAAGTCTTTGTTTTTCTGAGTTTCCAGAGGAATAAAGAAATAGGCTATTGATCCAGGTTTTTTCGAAAGCTGAAAAAAATCCAGACATTTGAATTTTTTTAAGAATTGATGAACGTAGTTAAGACACTTATATAAGTCGCGTTGATTTTCTTTTCGCTTTGTTATCCAGTACAAGTCTTAAAAATTGTTCAGGCTCAAATTAATTCTTTTGTGGGTTGACTTTTGGTTTCCTTGTAAGTTCAGTTTAATTCTTTTGTTAAAGCGAAGGCAAACTGCGCTATCGAACAGAAAAATTTTAAAGTTCACGAAACACGTGATCGACTTCTAATTTCCAAATATCAGAATTTCCCAGCGAAATGAAAATTTAACGTATTGATCCAGTTTCTCAAAGTGGTTCAAGTTCTACATAAAAAAATGGCAATCATAAACTGTTCTAGAAATACAAAGAGCTTTTTGACCATCTATCGTTTTCTTGGAAATTCGAGATTTTTTAAAAGACAGGTCATATATCTATTTTGATTACTTCCGTTCATTAAGTATTTTATAGCCGTTTGCTGACTGTGTTTCATTTCAGTGCAACTTGCTTTTTCGGAAAACAAAATTTGAATTGGCGCAAAATTCGCACTTGACATTGAAAAACATAACAGAAATTGAAATTCTCGACACTAAGGCGGAGTTCTTTCAAGGATGTTGCAGGAAGTTTGTATGTATGGACTCAAAATATGACTGCTCACCGCTATTCAATTTCCTAGATATGACGTTTAAGTGATTTTTCAAAAATTTTCAAAAGTCCTAGATTTCATTGAACCTATACTTCAGAATTTGAAATTGTCGACACATCGGTCGGGTGAAGTCAAGTTACTGCGAGCAGTTGTAGATGTGGCTTCCATACTAATAGTTTTGCTCAATTTTTTGAATATTTCGAATTTGACGTTTTTTTTATTATTCAAAAATCTTCATTAAACTAAGAAAGAAGTATTTTAAAATTAATTACGCTGGATATATCTATAGATGAAGTCAAATGATAAACGTGAGGGCTAATGAAATTAAAGAACTAAGTTAAACAAGAGTCTCGTTTTTGCATTCAGTGATTTTGCCAATGAACGAGATTAATTTGGAAAGTCCAGTTGTTTGCTACCGGCCAATTTAGGGTTTTTGTTTTAAATACGAAGATATGAAATCCCAGTAGTTTTGGAGATTTGACCATTTTAATTTTAAAAAAACCTTGGTTGAAACTTTTTATTATCGTTCAATTTTTGAAATAAAAAAGCGCTGTTATATGCACCGTCTATTTTTACAGTTGCGTTCGTTTCCTTGTGTTATATATACTTAACATAAATACATACATACATAATTGATTAAAAAACGTGAAAATTGCTTTTTTATCAAGAATATAGAAGCAGTTTATACGTGTTTTAATCTCTTTGAAGCACCTGAGGTGCGTTACCCGCTAGTTTTTATCAAAAAATTGTCAAAATATTGAAACTATAGGAAGTTTTATGGTGCAGTTATATTGAGAAGTATGTCGCTACTTTTCACCTGTATGTCGGCTATGTTAGCATGAGTGTGCAACGTGCAAAATCGCCTCTATATGAGGTTATTCTTGTCGCTCACTTGGCGTTCTGTTTTTAAATATTTAATTCTCCTGCATCTTCTAATTTTTCTCGCTATTGTTTCGTAATGTGGATTTCTATTAGATTTCATATCGATAAAAACAAACAGCGAAACATCTTCTTGTAATTTTTTGCTGTACGATTGTTAATCTAGAAGTTGAATTATGCCATTTAAAATGCTTAGCTCGTTAGGAAAAGATGGTTGTTGGACTAAGATTGAAAAAATCCTTCCTGTCGTTTGGAGAGATAATGGTGATGATGATTATAACAAGGATAATGAATAGCAATCAGATTGTATTGCTGATCGACTGACTTTGACATGCCGTGTTGGGTGGCTATTTGTGGGTGTCTTCTGTAAACTAAACCAACTTTTGGGCATGAGTGTTGTTCATTAAATGTGTAATAGGGAAAGAGCCTGGGGAATTTTATGCAAACTGAACTATAAACAAGATTTCAGGAGGACTAATATTTTTCCATATATTAATTTTGTAAGTTGAGCTGCCAAGTTGGATACATGTTGGTTATAAAAAACACAAGAGCGGAAATCTCTGACGGCGTGTTTTCGGTTTGCTTGAGCCTATTCAATCTCTGTAGATAAATTAGTGATATTTACTACCAGATGACAGATGTCTGTTGATACTCTGGACCAAATTTTTCAGGATTTAAATTGGCCTGCCTTCCAGCCATAGTTTTCTGGTGGCCGGGTTGATAATTCAAAACAAGGTTTATTTTAGTCCACTATTTTTCTTCGTGCTCCAGCCATTTGCCCAAATTTAGTCTCTGTTAGTAAGAAAATCATTTTCTTACCAACAAGAAATTATCGTCTCAGCTCGGACTTTGTTGTGCCTTCGCAAAGTGCTATTTTGAGTTGTGATTGTCAGAAAAGAAGTAGGATAAGGGAGGAAAGAGGGTATTGTAGACGTTGCTTTGACAGTGGGCTGCTCGCTTGCTCAAAATAAAGTAGCTCATTAAGAATTAATCTATCCGCGAATTAATCGATATTCCTTGTCCGTGTAAAACTGTACCTTTTTATGCTCCAACTTAACATGTGTGTTTGCTTGTGCGTGTTCCTTATTTTCAAAAGACATCGACGTTCCGGTGCTCTTTGACAGACGAAAATGAAGTGTTTTTTTTTCTGCGTATCTGATCCATTTCATTTAGAGCTCTGTTCGGAATACGTTTTGATTAATTTTTATGGAATGATTTCGCGTGGCGATTCCCAGGAGGGGTCCTTTTCATTTAATTATTTTGTGGTCTTGCTTTCAGCTAGACTTATTTTTGTGTCACGAGGAAGAATATTTTGAGATAAATCATTAGCAAAAAAGAAATCCTTCAAACCGCCATAATTCGTTGTTGACTTAGTGGTCCTGCTTATTTGTAGCTTCCACCAAACAGAAAAATGCGGAAAGAGTCAAGTATTTACTTACAAGAAAGGTGAACTCTCTTACAGTTGAAGTTATTAGAAAGTTTATGCTCGGTTTTTAAGTTATTAACCGAATTGGAAAATCGAAGTTATCGTTCAACGAGAAAAAAAATGGATTGAAACTAATTTCTTATTGCAATTAGACGGAACTTTTATAGTATAACTTGACGGAAAGACAGTTACGAGTGAACTATATTTGATCTTATCTGTTATGTGATGAGTTGCGAACACGTTGACGTCAACATGGACACTGACATGCACAGTGTTTCTAGTTTCGTCAGCAGTAGCGAAGATAAGTCAGCATCGGGGAGTGTATCGCCGCCCCGTCCCCAGAACAACAGTGGTATCTTCCACCTCAATGCTGGAAACAATTATAATTTGAACAACACTGGAGAGAGAAATACAGTTCTAGGTGTCCAGGAGCGACATTATCCACCGACATTGGTCTCGACTAGTTATGGGGACTCGAGATTTGTTTATGGGAACTCTGCGCCTCTAGTCGTCGATCTTTCGCATGATGTCTCAACTCACCCTAAAATGAACACCAGTGGAAATAACAGATATGGCGAAACCTCCGAATTTTCTGGAAGAGCGATTACTATTGGGAATAATAGTGACAGGATCTTTCAGCCCGTGCATCTTCCGGGTCAGAAGTATTCGCCACAGTTATCAGATGGAGGGCTTGGGATAGTGTCAACGTTTCTATTTCATGACCTTCAACAAGAGTCCTCTAGTGTATCTTCTCCTATATCATCCATATCGCCACCAGTGGTCACCTCGCCAACGGAAGAAAGTGCCGAAAGTCCAGAGAAGACGCCATCAATTGTCAGCAGGTTGAATATTCAAACTTGAGTGGCATTGCAATTTAAAAGTGATAAGTTGTCTAGCTAAATATACACCATAATTAAAGGCCGAACAGATTAATTGAACGAACAAAATATGTTAAAACTAATTTTGCTTACCCGAAATTTTTTGAAGCTGGCATTTTTTGAAAGATATTCAAGTATTTTGACACTTGCAAGTGTCTTGTAATCGAGAACTAGAATTTTTACCGTTAACAACTTTTCTTACACTCTTTTCTTTGTTACCCTTGCGATACGCAAGGGTAATGCAATGAGGTATCGGACATTTTTTCCTGTAAACAACTTTGCCCACAGGTGGATCTCCAATTTCAGGACCTCCTTTTTCAGCACGTTGCTTTCTGAACTGCCACAGTCGTCTCTCTGTTGGAAACTGCAACAGACTTATTTTGAGCATGCTAATATTTTGAATATCCGTCCTTTTCGAAATTTGCTTTTCAGTTTGATTGTAATTTTACCAACTTGTTAGATTTTTTTTAATTTTATTTCTTTTTTCTCGGTTAAACAAGTTTCAATCTATATTATTGGCCTCGTATTGCGTCCTTTATTAAGCAACAAAAATGTGTACGTGTGTGTAATGAAGGGGATTGGACTTGAACTACTTTTTATCAGTTTTTAAGTCTTTTTTCTTTTTTAATTTTTTTTCTCGATTTAATAAGTTTCGGTCTATTTTATAGAAGCCTCATATTTTGATGTTTAATGAGCGAAAAAAAAATTGTGTGCATGTGTGTTTATTGACGGGAACGGGGCTTTAATCTCTTTTTATTAGTTTTCAAGTCTTTTTTTTTATTTGCTTTTTTTTGGGTTGACTATTTTATATCGGCTAATTGACTTCATATTTCGTCGTTTGATGAGCATAATTTTTTTTTGTGCTTGTGTGTTTTGAAGGAAATGGGGGGATGAAAGCGTTTAATTAGTTTTGAGTCTTTTTTGAATTTTTTTAGGCTTTAAGGGTTTCTTAGGTATTTTTGGGTTGCTTAGAGCTTGATAAGTTTTCTTCTGATGCTATTATTACCTTCTATTGTTTTGGTGTGAGTTTTTGATACTTTTTTTGTTGGTTTTGATAGATTCGGCATTTTGGATTGTTATAATTTTTTTGTTTTAGTGGCTGTTTTGTATTGTATCACAAGTGGTGCGAAGCTCGGCTTCGCCTCTTTGTCCACTTTTTTCTTCTGTTAACTTCTTTCAGATTCGTTCCCATTTTCAGGTTTCTTCCCACTTTCAGGTTCCTTCCCATTTCCAGGTTCCTTACTTGAGGTCGGGTCGAGTCTCGGCCGGTTTTTTTTCCAGTATGTATGCAGTTCGTTTTTTTTCGGTAAAATTTAATTTGTCGGAATTTTGTTTGTCTGCTCAAATTTTGTCGGCTAAGAGTTGCTACATCACGTATTTTGCTTGTGATGCAATCAACTTTCATTGTATTTGTAAGTGCAAGTATGATCATTGTAGTTTCAGAAGAGAATTGAAACTTGAAGTTTTTTTTCGGCTCAACTTGTGTCTGCTCAAAGATAGTTGGCTCAGTTGCCACATCAAGGACTTTTCTTGTGATGTAAGCTGTAAGCATAAATCATTGTAGTTGCAAGTGCTAGTTTTGTTCAATTTAATGTCAGGTGAGGAGCGACTTACAGCTTACAGATTTTTTGTTACATCTTTTTTTTCGGCTCAACTTGTTTCTGCTCAAATATTGTCGGCTTTGTTTCCTCTTCGTAACTTTTGTTCCGTTGCTGATTTAATTTTCAAATTTCTGGCATGTTTGACTAGAATGAACTTCTATCAAGACATTCGAAAGTTTGTAATTTGGTGAACCTAATTTTTTTCAACCTTTTTGACGTTTTTCGTTTTTTTTCGACTTCTTATGTTTTTTATGTTTGTGTTGTATCGGTTGTGTTGCGAAACTTCGCTTTGCCTCTGTGTCATTGGGTGAAGCGCTTCGAAATCGAAATCTAGCAGTTTGTCAGTGAAACTGATATTAGGTGGTCAGTGTGTGATGATTTAAACATTAAATACTGCAATGCTAGTTAAACTTGACGTTTCTACCAGGAGTGACTTGACTAGACGCGCAGAGCGTGAGACTTCCAAAGCTAAACTGATATTCTCAAATGCCCAATTGGAGCGAATCTCGAAACGAACAACCCCAGTGCAATTTGAAGACCCTTGGCCTGTTAGGTCACAATCAGTACTAGGTAAAGAACCCCCTCCAAAGCCAATCAGAACACATTCCATGAGCCAGCGCAGCCAAAACCTTCCGATCTCTGCTGTGGATCACAGAACACCATCATATCATACCATGTCATTCGACGAGAATTCCAGCGTTGAGAAGTTGGCAGCAACCTACACCAAAAGTCTTCCCAGGCCAAATACAAGTAGAGAATGGCTCTTGACAAACTCAAAGACCACAGGAAGTATAAGCCAACAGTTATCTTTACAAGTAGTATCTACTAATTACTACTCAACCGATACTGAAGATTTCCGATCTCAGAGTCAGATGCAATTCAACCCTTCATTGAAGTTAGCAAACGCTAGGCAATCTTCATCAAGCAGCGGGTTTTTGGCAAACAAGCATCCTTTTAATTTACGAAGCGAAGAAACGTTGCAAATGGGCTTCGCTAAGAGAGGGAATGCAAGAATTAGTAACCCAGAAGAACATGAAATGTTTTCATCGCCGAATTCATCGGCATCATTCGCAGATGGATATTTTTCTACTGTTTACTGTGATAACTCGCACTCTTTATCTCTACCTCCTTCCAGTTATTTCATTGGTGCTGCTAATCCTAAGCTTCCAAGTTCTTTTACCGTGCTGCCACATTGGGTAAGAGTTGAATAATGAATTTAAACAGCGTCTGATTGATTATCTGATGGCTTCTAAAAGACTTCAATTTTTCCCATTGGTTGGAAAACTGATAATTGTCGGATACTTTACGGAATCGTTCAAACTATGCCACGTGCAAGTTCGTTTAATTGCTTTTTTTTCTATGAAGTCTAGTGAAAGGCTATTATTAAACGCGAGCTCCAACAACCAAGTGTTTTTATAGATCTGTCAGATTTTTTAACGCGGTTTGTTTTATCTATCTAACATCAACACATTTTCTTAAACAAGTGCACCTTCGAATTTAAGGCAGTTAAAAGAATCCTAAGAGTAGCAAAAATATATGCTGTTTTAAGCAAAGATGTTAACATGTGGTTTAGGGTTCAGAATCCCATAAATAAGTGGCAACTCTTTTCGTTTTTAGCTCTATGATAAAATTTCTGTGGAGCTGGGAGGTGCCTGCAGCAAAGAGAGCATGTCGATAGTGACTAATGAGAAAGGAGAGGTGGGTGCATTTCGCCTCTGCTCCGAGTTGGCATCCCTGCTAGACCACCAGGTGAAGACTTCCACTTCCTACACTCCAGAGATATCGACACAATTCAGAGACCTATTCCAGCTCAACTACAATTTCAATGTGAGTGATCACCCTTTTTGTGCCCAAGGAGGGGCGCTGATAAAAAAAACACCTTTTTGTCAAGATTTCCGAAAATTCTGATATCTTTTCAAGTATTCGCCGGTGTGTCGGAAAATATTGACATTTGAAATTTTTGTTGTAGATCGGAAACAGCAGCGAATATTTTTGTGGAGATCGATGTGAATGATAAAAGCTTAGCCAATTTAGCCTATTTAAAATGCTTTTTCATTTTTGGTAGTATTTGAAATAACATCATTTGTTCATATTTTAGTGTTTGCTCCAAGCGCATGACGTCATAATAGCCGAGTTGTTTGACAGCCAGTCAAACTGCTCCTCTCCTCTGGGTCCATCGGCCGACCAGACCCAATCTGGAACGACAGTCCAGAAAGCCTCTCCGATGCCAACTACCTTGTCACTCGCCAAACACAACGCCCACTTCGGTAACAATCCCTCGATCAGTACCACCATGTCTAACGGAAATTGTGTGGGTTCCTCTGGTACTGATAGTGGGGCACCCAACTCGCCTTTGAACTCTTCTCTTCCGGGTCACAAAGGCCCGGAAGTTACCAGGATCAAGTAAGCCAATTTTTATTTTCTGTTACCACACTTGTTCAGTAACAATTTCGAAATGTGAAATGACCCTATTTAAGTCTATACCTTGTTAGGCATCTCAATTAGCAAGATTTCCGATTCCGTAGCTGCTGGACTAAATTATTAATCAAAGAGTCTTTTTTGTAGTAAGACGACTCTTTAAGCTTTTAAACTTAACTTAATGATGTTTTTCTATTACAGGCAAGTGAATTTCCACCGAAACAAGGGGGAACCTCTGGGCATTACTCTGAAGATTCTCAAAACAGACCAAGTGGTCGTTTCCCGTATCATGATCGGAGGAATGATCCATCGTCAGAGTTAGTATTTCTTATTTCTTCTTGTCCGCTTATTGCCCAATGTCCACTGATGCGCATCATTTTATCAGTATTTTTTTATCCTTCTTGGCGGTATCAGAAGATCGGTTCAATTATTTAGGACGATATCCCAACTCTGCCAGGAAACCTTATTTATATTTTTTAAGAAACCAAAAAAAAGCGGATTGATTGTTGTGCTGATTCCAAATTCGTCATATGGGAACTTAAACTTGGTGAAAATTAAACATCAATATTAAGAGTAATGAACGTATTGAAGACTCTGATATATGTCTTGCTGATTTTTTTTAGGAAAAAGTCTTATATTTGTTCACGCTCAATTTTAATTTTTCGCGGTTTGACTTGTGATTTCTTTTTAAGTTCAGTGCATTTCTATTGTTAAGAGGAAGGCAACTCCATTATCGAACAGCGAAAGTGTAAAGGTCACGAAAAAAGTGATCGACTTCTAATTTTGAAAATGGAAGTTAATTATCAGATTTCCAGCGAAAAAAAAGTTTTACCTATTGATCCAGTTTTCTCAAATTGGGTTGATTTTAGCAAAAAGGTGTCCATCATAAGTTTTTCTACAAATTCAAATTCTTCATATAATTTTTTTATTCGAAATTCAAAAGTTGAAGATTTTTTTCAGTTTCTTTGCGTTCATTGTTCTTTTCCAACTGTCAGTTGGCTGTTTTAAGTTTTAAAACTAAATTATCTAAGCATTAAGTGTTGTTTTGTAGCTAAAATGAGTTTTTCGACAATTTAGCAGATGATTTAATGTCTTGTGCGCGTTATATGATATACGATAAATTATACGAAAAACCTTTCTACTCTATAAGATTATACGAGAAATCTGATTTATACGATTAATGAAACTGATAATTGGCTGGTCTTTGTTGTGAAACAAGGATTTTTTTTCATTGCGTACTACAAGATTGATTGATAATAGGGGCGGCTCATGTCCAATACGAGCAATCAAAAAATTTATTTTTCAAGCAAAAAAAAGATTACCGAGCAGCAAAAACAATCTGAAAAGCCTTGAGCAGTTACTATAATTGAATTAGGATTTTGATCTCACGATTATACGTTTCTTACGCGTTTATATGTTTCTTATACGAAAGCCAAAATGTACGATTATACCTTGTACGATAGTAGGATTATACGATTAGAAGTTTTACGGTTTTTTCATTTTATGTCAAAACACTAACAAACATTCCAGAACATATCTTAATGTCTGCTTAGAAATTCTGAACGAGGGCGACGAGATCTTGGAGATCAACAGGCGCTCTATCCGCAAACACTCTGAAGACGAGCTGCGAGATCTGCTGAACCACATCTCGGGCGACATCGTGATCAAAGTGACCCCAAAACAGTCCAACTCAGGTGCTATCAACAATCTATCCGAGGTAAGGGCATCATTTTTGTGACATTTGACACTTAAATGAAACTGATAGCTTTTTAAAAGGGAATTTTGAGCTTTGTTGCATTTTGAATAACCGTTTCATTTGAATTTTTTGTTTCTGAACTTGGTTATAAATGTACCAACTCTGGCTTGCATAATTTCAGCTTCTAGTGTTTTTCGTCGCTTTAAAAATTTACTTGGCTTAAAGCTGATTTTTGTTCGGGCTTAGATGCATCATGTTGCGTCTTTTGAAGAGTAAAAAACGCTCTTATACCTGTGTTTTCTTTGATGATTGAAATGTAATTTTTTAAAATTTTTGTAGCTAAAATTTGCAGTTTTAAGCGGTTTAATTTTTGATTTCTGTTTAAGTTCAGTTCATTTCGTTTGTTAAAAAGACGGCAAACTCAACTATCGAACAGCAAAAATGTAAAGGTCATGAACGAGATCGAATTTTAGTTTCGAAATTGGAATTCAATTCTCAGATTTCCCAGCGAAATAAAATTATACTTATTGATCCAGTTTTCTCAAATTAGTTTAATTTTATCAAAAAAAGTGCCAGTCATTAATTGTTTCAGAAATTCAAAGAGCTTTTGAATTTCTAGTCTATCTATTTTTTTCTTGGAAATTCAAAAGATTTTTTTTTTGAAAAGCCAGTCAGTATTTTTTTTCTGTTCAATTGCGTTCATTGACCCTTTTCAAACTATCTGTTGGCTATGTTTATTTATATAGTTCTTGATGACTTAGTGAATTAAAAACTTTTTAAAAACGATTTTTATCACTTATTTTTGTATCGCAGGTGCAGCATTGGCAAATTATCTGAAATATTTGCAGCTAATAGTTTGATATTATGGTAACTTGGTACAAATGCGAGGACGTGCGACTCTTAATCTCCAAGTTGGGGGTTCGTTTCCGGCTCATGGTTTGCATTTTTTGAACTTATTTCACCTTTTAGAGCCAATTGTTAGCTTTTTGTCGCTTGTTTTTGCTAAGTGCAGCTGCACTTTAATGAAGTTTTTTCAATTTCAAGTGTGAAGATCATTCCTCGGTATTTCTTCAAGTAGAAGTTCTCATGAATTTTGGTCACTAAATCAAAGGTCACACGCTGAGAAATAGAATTATCATGGCTATCAACTTTTACTTATTGTTTTACAATTGTGTGGATTTGAAAACGTTCATGGGGCTCCAAATAATATAGTTGAGCTCATTGACAAGATATACGATCTGATTGCGAGATATAAGGTCCATTTATGATCGATTTATATCATCCTGTTTATGTGTTCATCGTCCTGCGATCCACTTCTGAGGTTCGTATACGAGCGATTTATATCATCCTAATTATGTGTTAATCATCTTCGTATAATAGCTTCTATTTCACCGAACTATTGTCAACTAGTTCTGCCAACTGAAGCTAAATTATAATTAGTGTTTGAGCATGCATTTCTGCATTTTTTGAATTTTCTCATCCAATTTACGAAACAGTTTGACAAAACTTGAGACAGTGTCCAAGTGTTAATAAAGAGGCAATCCAGTCGAAGTCTATTTGGTGTTTGTCAAATATAAAATGATAAAAGATTCGTCGAGAAATGATCATCTAAAGTATTATATTCGTGGCGTAATAATATAATAAAATAATATTTTGTGAAATTTCGACAGAGATTTTTCAATATCACTTAATGCTTCTACAGCAACTTTGAAGTCGATTTTTTTTTGTGTTTCTAAGAGTAATTTTTTCGGGCTTCGAGTTAGTGCGTCGCAGAAACGCATTGCGCCAAAATCATCCATTTATTGCTGGCCTTACTTTTCAACCTTTGTTTGCTTAATTTTTTTCAGCTAGTCTGACTTCACAATGTTGCAATTATTCTGATTCAATAATGGTATGTTCTAACTTTCGTTTTGGAGCATATCTCAACGCTAGCTAGGTTACGAGCGAACATGGTTTGCTGAATAATCAATCCAAGGATTCAATTGGCGCTCATTGAGTTTATACATTCGATGCGATCAGTCTAAAACTGTTTGAATTTTAGAATCAAGTAATTATTGTGCTTCAATTTCACCGAACTAGCATCTGCCAATTCTGTCAACTGAAGCAAAATCTTCAGCTCGAATCGCCATTGAATAGTTTGATGTCATATTGTTAAAAATATTGAGACACAGTTAAATGTGACCAATCTTCTCTAAAAAGCAATCCGAATAAAATATTCGCTAATGGCGTTACTGAGGGTTTTTCCGGCAACAGCCATATTATCTTAACACTTATATAGAAAAACATCAAAAAAAGTATTTGATATCTGCAAAACGAAAATTGATACCACCACCAAAGTTTGATTTCTCATCAAAATTTGATTTTTTTTTTCACTAAAATTTGGGTTTTCGTGGTTCACACTAAAATTTGATTTTTCGCGGTTCGACATTTGATTTCTCTTTCAGTACACTTCATTTCCTTTGTTGAAAGGAAGGCAAACTCCATTATTGAACAGTAAAAGTGTAACTGTCTCAAAAAACGAGATCGACGTCTAATTTTGAAAATGGAATTTGTTTATGGGCTTTTTTAACTTACTAAAATGGAATGAATTTATTAAGTAATGTTTTTATTCCAAGCGAATTAAAAAGTTTTTTGATTGAGACAGTTTTCTCAAATTGATTTTAAAATGCCAAACATAAATTGTTCTAGAATTTCAAAGAGCCTTATGGGCATCTATTTTTTGCTTGGAATTTTGAAAGTTGTGAATTTTTTCAAAAATTAAGTCAGTGTTTTATTCTGTTTCCTTGCGTTCATGACTTTTTTTCAATTATATGTTGGCTATGCTTTTCAAGTTCAGTTCATTTCCCTTGTTATAAGGAAGGTAAATTTTACTATCGAACAAAAAAGTGTACAGGTCGGGAAAATGTGATCGACTTCTTATTTCGAAAGTGGATTTTGTAATTCAGATTTTAGCGGATTAATTTTTAATCTCAGTTAATCAAAAAAGTGTTCATCGAAAATTTTTCTAGAAAATCAAAGAGCTCTATATTTTTTTTGTCTGAAGTTCGAAATCTGATGGATGTATCAAATTGTTGAGGCACAGTTCAAAAAGACGAATATTCTGGTATTAGAATGAAATATCCGTGAAATGTTTGAATTCAGCGGTTCCTCGTGTATTAGCTTCTCTTTCGCTGGACTATTTCAGCTAGTTCTGCCAACTGAAGCAAAACCATTTTTCGTCATTCGCATGACAGTTTCTGAAATTCTTCGAGTTTCTCTACCAAACTACGAAACAATTTATCTACATTTTGATACAGAGCCCATGTTTGAGTAATGAAAAGCCATGCATCTATTGGAGGAGCCTCCAAAGATCTATTCGATGACTGTAGAATACCAAAAAACGAAAATACGTCTTAAAATGATATTTTAGAGTATCATGGTTTTCTGGTTTCAGAAGTTGGTAGATGAATGATATAGATTTTTTAGGTCTTACTTTTGCCTGAAATAGTTTAACAATTGAAACAGTTTTAACAGGGACTAGTGTCTGACGTTTTGCATGAAATTTATCCGGTTACCTACTGGAGTCACATTTTAAATGTTGTTACCGATCTTTAACCTGAACTACGAACGCTAGCTATGGTTTGCTTAGAGATGAATCTGTTTTGCTCGATTTCAAGAGCTCATTCTGAGATCATTGTGTTAATACCTTCGATATTGATAGTCGAAACCTGAATGAATTGTAGAATCAAATTATAATCATGCTTCTGCCAACTGTAGCAAAATCATCGTCTGAAGTTTTCATGAGTTTTATGTCATCTTGTTCAAAATATTGAGGAAAAATTTAATACGACCATTTTTTCACTAAAACGAATGACCTATTAGAAGTTAATTGAAAAAAGTTTACTGAATAACGTAAACTCCGTCTTCATCTCTATAAGCAACTGTCCTTGTCCCAAAGTTTAGGCTCAAATGAATTTTAATTACTACTCAAAGCCTGAATACGCTACCACTGAGTTATCGTCATCTCAGTTTCTATTACTGATCATTTGATGTCATTTTTTCCAAAATCTTTGCTGTTAATTATCCGCTGGTGGCGTTACTGAGGGTATTACTTGAAGTGTCAACGCTTGCGAAAATAGAAGTTTATTGGATGAAATGTATAGAATGAAATTGAATTCTTTCTTAATTTGGAATAAATAACAGTGGGTATCATGCAAATTAAGTGAATGTAATTTTTGATCAAACCTACCCAAGCTTCTATTTCACCGAACTAGCGTCAGCTAATTCTGCCACTGAAGCTAAATCGTCGTCTCGAATTTCCATTATAAATTGTTTAATGTCACCTTATTGAAAAAATTGAGACACAGTTAAATATGACCAATAATCTCTAAAAAGTAATCCGGATGAAATATTCGCTGGTGGCGTTACTGAGAGTAATACTTGAAGTGTCAACGCTTGCGAAAATAGAAGTTTATTGGATGAAATGTACAGAATGAAGTTGAATTCTTTCTTAATTTGGAATAAACAACAGTGGGTATCTTGCAGTCTAAGTGAATGTAATTTTTGATCAAATCTACACAAGCTTCTATTTCACCGAGCTAGCGTCGGCTAATTCTGCCAACTGAAGCTAAATCGTCGTCTCGAATTTCCATTATAAATTGTTTAATGTCACCTTATTGAAAAAATTGAGACACAGTTAAATATGACCAATAATCTCTAAAAAGTAATCCGGATGAAATATTCGCAGGTGGCGTTACTGAGAGTAATACTTGAAGTGTCAACGCTTGCGAAAATAGAAGTTTATTGGATGAAATGTACAGAATGAAGTTGAATTCTTTCTTAATTTGGAATAAACAACAGTGGGTATCTTGCAGTCTAAGTGAATGTAATTTTTGATCAAATCTACACAAGCTTCTATTTCACCGAGCTAGCGTCGGCTAATTCTGCCAACTGAAGCTAAATCGTCGTCTCGAATTTCCATTATAAATTGTTTAATGTCACCTTATTGAAAAAATTTGAGACACAGTTAAATCTGACCAATAATCTCTAAAAAGTAATCCGGATGAAATATTCGCAGGTGGCGTTACTGAGAGTAATACTTGAAGTGTCAACGCTTGCGAAAATAGAAGTTTATTGGATGAAATGTACAGAATGAAATTGAATTCTTTCTTAATTTGGAATAAACAACAGTGGGTATCTTGCAGACTAAGTGAATGTAATTTTTGATCAAATCTACACAAGCTTCTATTTCACCGAGCTAGCGTCGGCTAACTCTGCCAACTGAAGCTAAATCGTCGTCTCGAATTTCCATTATAAATTGTTTAATGTCACCTTATTGAAAAAACTGAGACACATTTAAATATGACCAATCTTCTCTAAAAAGTAATCCGAATGAAATATTCGCTGGTGGCGTTGCTAGCGCAAACAAAAGTTTATTGAAAAAAGATTACGGAATGATTTTAACTCCGTCTTAATATCCTATAAACAACATTTGTTTGTATCAGAATTTCGCCTAAAGTGAGTATAAATGACTATTGAAAGCTTACATACGCTATCATTCGAATTATCGTCGGCTTTTTGCCAACCCAAGCTAAATTGCCATCTTAGTTTTTATTGTTGATCGTTTGATGTCGTACTTATGAAATTTCGCGTAGTTAATTATCCGCTGGTGGCATTAATTTCAACGCTTGCGAAAAAAGGTTTATTGAATAAAACATACAGAATGACATTTTGAGTCAACATGAAATGAAATGTTAATCTGGAGTCAACGACATAAAATATTGTTCATTTAAAGCGCATTAAACTTATTCGACAAATCTTACATAAGCTTCTATTTCACTGAACTTACTCGTTTTTTTTTTAAATCAAGCGATTTTGTTGTCTCAAGTTTCCGTTAGTACGTTTTTTTTTATTGCTACGAATGATACTGTTGGTACGCAGTGCATCATGTTGGGTAGTAAGTAGTGCACGCCTATTTGTGCTTTAGTCTTTCTTCGTGCGTGCAATGTTCGACTACAGACCGGAGGAAGACGCTACAAGTCAAGCTGCGGCTGCATTCGGACTTGCCTTTCAAGCCAGAGACATCCTACAGATCCTCAAGCACAAGACCCCCGAACCAGACTTCTCTCGATCAGTCCAGTCGCTGGCCAGTCTAAATAATCCCAATCACCAGGTCAGAGCTCAACATTTGAAGTTAACTTCATATTGGTAGAATAGACTTTTATGAATACGTATCCCAGTTTGGGTACTAATTATGTCCAAGCTTGGTGAAATAGTCAAAAGGAATGATATTGCCTTAAATGATACTAATTCAATGTCAGTTGATGTCATAAGCTTGGTTCGTTTCGATAATTTTCTGAAAAAAGTGTTTTTAATATTTAATCTGGTGATCTTTTATTTCAGTTCTCCGGTAACTCATCAGATTTTAATAAATCTTCAATATCCGGTGGCGGCGGACACGCGATGACGCCACTCACTGAAAATCAAAGGTGGTGGCAGGCCAGAATAGTATGCAGAGCGAATGAGTCTGCCAATTCGGTGCCAGAAGATCTGGAAGTGCTGGAGAAGGGTGGGAGTGTGTTGAGTAGCAGTGGGGGTCAGTCGGGTGGTCGCAAAGTGGGTCTGGTGCCTTCGTGTTTGTGGAGGATGGAGACGATAAGAAACGAACAGCTGACAAGTGCGGAAAAAATTAGGTATATTGCATTTTATATCAATATTTTCTAACAAGCTTCCTTGAGTCCGGAAATAATAATATACGTTGAGCCATAGCGGCTGAATTTTATGGCCCTGGATTTTTTGCTATTAGATTTGAAATTTTATGGCCCTAGATTCATTATTCATTCAGAGAGATGATACAAAACATCTAAAGGCATAAACGGATCACTCTTTATGCCGTTTCAGAGACGGTCTAGAAACAAAACCGGTTCAAGTCTTAAGTGGTGATGGTTAAGTTAAAAACTAGTTCTCATGCGTTTAATTGTGACGATTAATGCAGGTCGACATGTGGCTTCTTCTCGCGGCGGAAGAACAAGAGACTGAATGTGGTGGAGCTGAGTGAGGATGAGATCTATGAGCGGGTAGTGCAGCTGAAGGAGTGCATGCCTCGCAGGAGTCTGCTGCTAGTAGGCGCACCTGGAGTCGGCAGGAGAAGCATCAAGAATGCACTCATTCAGGTCGACCACCGCTTCGCATACCCAAAACCACGTGAGTCTGCACACATGTTAGCCTATTGACAAATTCCGAATGCAGTCAAGTTCATTTTGGTTTTACAGAAGAATTTATTTATATTCTTAATGAGTCCTTGAAAATTATGATATTGAATTTGATTTAGCTTCCGATAGTTTTCCTTTCTATGGGGTTTTTTGACTGATGTTGTCCAATTCTACTTGAGATTCAATCAAGTTTTGTAACTCTAGTCTCGATTGAATTCGCAAAACCTTGTTTGTCTCTGTTTAAAATACGGTGGGACTTTTTGGGCTACATATTTGGGTTTTGTGGGTTTGTTCAGATACGAGTAAGCCTGTGGACAGTGATGCTGTAGACGAGAATGGCAACTCACTGTTCCACCATGTGCCCCACCATGAGTTAGTGGCCTCGGCCAACAGGGGAGAGTACCTGGAGGTGGGCAAGTACAACGAGGCCTGGTTCGGCACCAAGTACGACACCATAGACCGCATCATGGCCTCAAATCTCATTCCAGTCATGGACATCGAACCAGATGTGAGGCCATAACCCTTTTAAGTTCCATTCAACTCAATTAATTTATTGTTAAAGAACGAAGTCAGTTTTAAGTCTCGATAAGCGTAGTGCACACTCATATATAGGTCATGATGATGATTTTTTGTTTTTTTATCCCAGAAAAAGTCCTGATTTTTCAAAAAAAAAATTCACGGTTTGACTTTTGATTGGCTGTTAAGTTCAGTTTACTTCCTTTTTCAAAAGAAAACAAACGCCACTATCAAACATGTCTGGTAAAGGCAGGGGCGGATCTAGGGTTTTCTCGAGGGGAAGGCGGATTTTCAAAAGGTCAAACAAATTGATTTTCTGAGCTCTCCCAAATCATCATAAAGACCCTATTTCGACCGTTTTCTGCGCCGCTGGCAATTTTTTGAACAAACCAAAAAAAAACGTTTTTAAGCTTACCAAAAAAAAACCGTTTTTTTGGCGCGAGCTCCAACCTCAAAATTAGTTTATTTTGGCGCCGATGGTGCCTTTGGAACAATTTTAGGGTTAGTCAGCCAAAAATGGATATCTTCTCAATATAGTACAAAGGGGAGGGGGCCTTTGGGTCGGCAGATATTCGAACCCACCCCCCCCCCCCCCCCCCCCTAAATCTGCTACTGCGTAAAGGTCACGAAAAACGTAGTAGAATTCAAGTTTCGAAAAAGGAATTTTGTTTTTGGATTTTCCAGCGGAAAAGAAAATTTAATCAATGATCCAGTTTATTTTATTTGGGTCATTTTTATCTAAAAGTGTGAATCGTAAATTGTTCTTGAAACTCAAATAGCTGTAACCTGATATTTTTTCTTTGAAATTCGAAAATAGCAAAATTATTAACTTTTTAAATCCATTTTTCTTTCGGTTTCCTTGTTCTTATACTACACTTTTCCAACCTTCTGTTGGCGATGTTTTGACTCAATGAGACAGTTTGCATCACTTATTGGATCAAAGAAAAATTTCAATTAGCGAGCGTATTAGATCTTTATAACAATCCCGCAGATGAAAGCATTCATTCATATGTCACTCATTAATAGTACGTTGTAAACCATGATGACAGGCTTTTATAAGGCAAAATAACAGTTTTCGATGTGGAATTGTTTTATGTTTCAGTCTATCAAGAAGTTGAGGAATTCCAAATACATGCCTTATGTTGTCTTTGTTGACGCGCCTAGGACATTCGACAGCTCGTCTCGTGACGACGCAAGTATAGTAAGTCAACCGAGAAAAAAAGTTTTAAAGCCATTTTGTCGAGCAGGAAAAGGGAAACATCAGCTGGGAAAAGAGAAACCGTTCTGCAATGCACTGTTGTTTCGTGATTGTGTTTGGTTATCTGGGATACGTTGTATCAACCTCAAGCAAAGAAGGAATACTTATCATGATGGACTTCAAACTTGTAATGCCTTAATTGTTTTTCAGGCTCAATCGCTTGAACAGCTGTTGCATGTCTCCAACGAAATAGACAGACACTACCGAGCACTCTTCGACATGCAACTAGAGAACCGACAGATCGCGAAAACAGTCGAACTCATTCGGGGCGCATTCGACAGAGTGTGTACGAATGCTCACGAGTGGGTTCCTATCAGCTGGGTCTCATCCTCGGTGCACCCGCAAGGCTCCGCCGCCACCTCTTCATCCTACTTCTCATCATCATTATCAGCTACGAATGCTCCTCAGGCGACGAACTCTACATTGAACAGTGAGAGTATAGCTCTGAGTCAACAGCAAAGAACTCAACTGAAAAGTAGCAATGGGTCGGTTAAAAACAACAGTGCTAGTAATCAACTCAGTTAGCAGAAGAATTAGTTTAAATAGGTCATTGTCTATCTAAATTGTTGAATACGCAGCTCGAACATAAGTGGTCTGAACTTATTTCTTTCGAAGTAAATTGAGTTAACGTATCAAAACTATCCTCTGTATGATTTTTGGCTGCAGAGATCAGATCCCAAATTAACAAAATATAAATGTATCTTCAAAAAAAATGAAATGCTCTGCTCGAGGAAGTTAAGTTACTAAAAAGTTTAATTCATGTTTCTTCGCGCCTTGATGCAAAGCTTTCCGTTTTTTGCGTTACATTCTGCAGTCAATTGTTAACGAGTGCAACGTGTTCTAACTCTAAATCTAATGAGGTTAGAACTCCTTGCAGGTGAATCTCAGGGGATAGAAAATGATAGGCTCAGTTGGTACAGCAGGGCTTTATAAACCGTCCATCATGTGTAGTCTAGTAAGTAACCTCACGTGCATATTTTACCCCATAGATGCGCGTTGCTATCACTTTGTATCTCTAGCATATTGCATTTCTAATTCAAAATGTAGGGCAAAACCCGCTTCAATCAAAAGTCTGGATTTTGTAAAATTTGTAATTAGATTACTTAAGCCCCTGTCTCTGCGTTATTTTCAAAATCGAAATACGCTCTGCGTGGGTTGTTTTTTGGATTGATTTCCCTGGTGTAGTGTTAAGGTCAGTGCATTTGTTTGATGGTTAGCTCTTTGTTTCTTTGTTAACATACAAGGAAGTAGTAAACCCATCTCTGCTAGAATCAATCATCTACTCAGCAATGGAATATTTATTTAATTAAAATGAACATTTATGAATCATTACGTAGATTTTCACTGTAGAACTCTATTTTGCAATAATTCGGAATTTTATTGTATTTTTACTGTCAATATGTCAATTTTGACTGATAAATGAACGATTTATTTTATCCTGTCTGCTCATTCGAAATAAAAGGCTCCAAATTATGGTTTTATTTTGAGCTCAGTAGCAAATTTTCCAGAAGATAGAATTTACATGCCTCGACTTTCACACCGCATATTTGACCGCTGAAGACAAGCAGAATTTTATGTCAGTTTAATCAGATACAGCCCTGTATAACCGTTGAAAATGGCTATGTTGTGTAATCATGGCCAGCTGGCACTTCAAGGGAGCCATCGAGAGCTATCAGGCACTTAAGGCATGAGAATTTCAGCGTTTAAGTAGATGTATTCGTTGCCCAATATTGTATATCGCGTTTCCAAGTTGTTCGAAAACAGCTCGATTGGATTTAAGACTATTCATGAGGGCATGAAAGTAGTTCAAATGGCTGTTATTTTAGTAATAGATGATTCAGTTGATGAAATTTGAGATTCAATATTAGGGGTGACGTGTGCTTTCCTACACAATTGTCACGTTGTTTCATTTAAGATGCGAATTTTTCGGCAAATTGATCAGTAACTTCTGGACATCGGTTTAAATATCAACCTTAATTTTTCGAAGCTGTGAAGCTAGGTATAAGAGTTGAGCTTCGAAAATGGTCAAGCACAAATTTCGAGAAGGTTTTGAAGTGTCAATAAAACGAGCGATCACACTTTTATTGTTTGCGATGATGTTCTTAAAATCAAGTCATTATCTTAAGAAGAAAAAACTAGCACAGAAGCGCGATGAACGCAAACTAGATAACCTTTCAAGCCCTATTACCCTATTTCATAAAACCTGAAACATGTTTTGATGGAAAAACAGCGAACGAGAAAGATGTTCTGAAGTGGTTGGCCCCGTAATTAGAACCAAATCTGTGGAAGGGTCTGAAAAATCCCTTAATGGCAGAAAAATTTGAAGCTAAACATGGATGAAGTTTTTAACACTCAATACACGAAACTCAGTTTCCTTTAACCCAACAAAGAACTGAAAAACAAAGAAAAAAAATGAAGTAACGCTCACCGATCCACTAAATTATATTGCAGTTTGCACGTGCGGTTTGCTTTGAAAAAAAAATGTATCTAAAAATATTTCTGTTTTAAATAAAATTGCTTCCTTTTTGCGTCCCAATACTATATCAGATCACCAGTGAAACTAAGCGCGTGGTGAGCCTGAAATCCAAGCTGAGCAGTAAATCTGTGCGCATCTCCAAAGAAACTAAGCGCGTGGGGGACCTGAAAACCAAGCTGACCAGTGAATCTGTGCGCGTGGGGGGCCTGAACAGAAATATACCCTGTAGTGGATTTTTGAAGAACACTCCAACTGATCCCTATTGGTGGACACTTGGGCTGGATTGAAGGCATCCGGATTCAATTGAGATTTGGAGCGGATCGTTCAGCTTAGTGAGATCAATCCAATCATTCCCCCAAGTTTTACCAGGAAAATGCCAAAAATGAAACGTAAAACGTCTAATAAACAGATGTGTTTTATTACTTGAAGATCCTGAATATCCATGTAAAATTTGCGGAAATGAATGCGAATTTAATTGTCATTCATGTGACATTTGCGAAACCTGGTTTCACGATGACTAACAAATTGCCTGAGAAAGTCCTCCAAAATTTAGGCAAAGTAAAAGGTTTATTCTGGAAAAGCGAGGAGTCTTTAGACAAAAAAAAAGTGATAAATTGAAACAATCCGAGAAAATCTTAAACGAAATCCAAAAGGCAAACTTAGCGATCCAAAACGATTTAGCCGATGTAAACTGTCAATACAACAGATAAGCGACCAAATATTGTCTATTCAGAAAGAAACTTCGGATATAAAAAACCTTGCTTCTTTGAAGCAGTCCATTAGAACGGGCAACGATTTTTCCTCAATTGAGATATATATTAGCGTTTTGCGCGAAAATATAACAAACCAGAGCAGTTTATCTACAACATCTAATAATGCTCCCATCCCAAACCAAGCTAAAACAGACTCTAGGCTTATTGGAAAGAAACTAGTGATATATGGATTAGCAGAAAATATACAAGACGATAAAGTTGTACAAATTGAAAGGGACAGAAATAGTTTGCTGCAAATGTTCAGAGACAGGATGGAACTTAAAGAAATAACCGTGAGCGACTGTTTTAGACTTCTTAAAGAACAACCTTACAATTCAAGACCTCTTGTCTTTTACATTCCATCTCCTTGGCATCATAAACTTATTTTTCTGTCATTGAGAAAGCTAAAGAACTCGAATATGTATATCAAGGAATTCATGAATTATGCGGACTATCAGAATGAGAGGAAAATTCTGAAATACAGATACAATTTGAGTACTTTGATGCAAAAAGAAAAATCAGAATTCAAAAAAAATCTGGAACCCTGAGTGTGATCGAATTCTTGGTAAGGGAAACTCTTCCTCTTGACTACTAAAGGACATAAAGCTTTTGTCACTTAATTGCAGACCAATTTTAACATTTGAACGGAAAATCAAGCTGGACTATTTTTTGCGAATCGATCAACCTGACATTGTTTGATAAACATGTTGAAAATACTGCAATTTTCTGCACAGATGTTTATGAAGTAATTCACCGTTCTGATAGGGAAAGTGTACCTCATGGAGGAGTCCTAATTGCGGTTAAAACATCTTCTAAATTAAATGTCATCGATGATCAATCAGTCATTTTTGACCTTGGTTCATATTTGTTTGTGAAGCTGAATAAACTAATGCTTTGCGTAACAGCCATTTACAATCCACCGCATGACAGTCCTTATACTCTAAACGGAATAATATTTGAAAATTTTTTGAGTGAAGTGAACAAACAACTCAACTTTCGTATAGTAGAATCTAACTTGAACACAACGCAATGGATTTTATGCGGCGATCTGAACTTAACTTCAGTTGATTAGAATACTTTATCAAGTGATGACAAACGTGACCCTAGTTTTTTGAAAATAATTGCGAACTTCAACCTTGGTTTACTGACAGATAGGGAGCTTTTACAGCGAGACGTAATATTAACAGACAATTCTTTTTTATGTACTAACTTCGAAATAAACCAAAGCTTCTCAGATGATCCTGCACTTTCCTGTCAAATAGCATTTGAAATTAAAACGGAACAGATAAATCTAAACCGTTACTGTATTTGCAAAGCAGACTCCGAATCATTGCGTTTGTTTTTCTTCAACAAAAGACTTCAATGCCCGAATGATGCAAACAGAATGCTTAAAAAGTTCTATGGGTGATATTATCACGCCGTTGATAAATATATTCCAAAAAATACAATTCGTCGCTCTAATTCCCCCATTGGATGTCTTCACACTCAATAAATGCTGAAAATCGCCTTCAGACGGCATCGCCTTCAGACGTCATCGCCTTCAGACGGCAAATTATTCTGACGAGAAAGTTAAACGCTGCAAGCAAGATTTGAATGATTCTTTAGAACTGGACAAAACTAATTACTTTGAGTCAATGAAAGACTTCGATTTGAAAATGACTTTCATATTTCTCGGATCGACGAATGGAAAGGCAAAAGTGCCCAAGAAAATGTCATACAAAAATACCTGTTTATGCTTCGATTTTGCAATCTGTGATGTTTTGATGAGTTTCTAGCATCTGTGTTCAGAATAGACAATGAACCATTGAATGTTACAAGCGAAAGAATTTTTCCAGGAATACACTTATCAGATACTTTCGTTTCGCAATGCGAAATTTTTAACGAATTGGGTAAATGCAAGTCAGGAACAAATTCAGTTGATGGTATATCTCCCAACATATTAGTTATCGTTTTAAAGTTCTGTTTGAATGATATTGTTGAACTGTTTAATTTGCATAGTCAGTAATAAACAGTTTCCAGATATCTGGAAAGTAGCACACAATAATCTTTTGACAAAAAAGCTTCTCGTAGGAAAATTGAAATTTATAGGCCTTTTTCAATACTTCCTGCACTCGCCTTAATATTTGAACGAGTTTTATATAACAAGATAAAAGGGTTCATTCAAAGAAAATTGTGTTTAAACCAACATGGTTTTAGAAACCATCATTCAACTGTGGCAAACCTTATATTGTACTGTGATATTGTATACAAGAAATTAGAACAAGGAGAATTACGTATTACACTGCTTTTAGATATTGCAAAAGCTTTCGACTCTATTAGCCATAACATAATTTTATACAAAATTAAATCGTTTTTGAATAATGTCAGTGAAATTGGCAACAGTTTGTTTTTATTCAAGTACAAAACATAATTTTATACAAGCTTGCCAAAACTGGCTTCGACCATGAGTTTCTTCAATTTTTCGCATCTTATCTCACAAACAGAAAACAAATAGTTTTTCTTCATAATACATTGTCTCATTCCCGCAATGTGACAAGTGGTGGTCCACATGGATCAGTTAAGGCAGTTTTCTTGTTTTCTTTATATATAAACGATATGCCAGAAAATATTGACAACCCTTCCTTTTTATATGCTGACAATACAAAAATTATCGGAAATTGATTTGACCTTTCTTCGATTCGAACGGAATTAAATAATAGAATCACCGGGGCAACAGAAACAGAATTGACTTCAATTATGAGAAAGTTGAACAAATAAGATTTCAAAAATCAAACAAGCGTTACCATTGAAGCGATCTTTTATCTATTAATGGAGAACAAACAGTTTTGGCAGACACGGTGAAAAACCTTCGTGTTTGGTGCAATAGTTTTTCTTCATAATACATTGTCTCATTCCCGCAATGTGACAAGTGGTGGTCCACATGGATCAGTTAAGGCAGTTTTCTTGTTTTCTTTATATATAAACGATATGCCAGAAAATATTGACAACCCTTCCTTTTTATATGCTGACGATACAAAAATTATCGGAAATTGATTTGACCTTTCTTCGATTCGAACGGAATTAAATAATAGAATCACCGGGGCAACAGAAACAGAATTGACTTCAATTATGAGAAAGTTGAACAAATAAGATTTCAAAAATCAAACAAGCGTTACCATTGAAGCGATCTTTTATCTATTAATGGAGAACAAACAGTTTTGGCAGACACGGTGAAAAACCTTCGTATTTGGTGCAATTTCAAAATA